AAACTCATGTGGAATCTGTGTTGTAATAGGCGAAGTGGTAAGATTGTGTTTGGGTTGTTGGCTGGTGGGTGTGGGTATGTGTGTTGGTGACTGTGACGAAGTGAGTGGTAATGGTGACATTGCCGGTGGAGATGTTGAGTGTGTGCTGATGTGGGGGTTGGTTTGAGAAGTGGGAGATGTAGTGATGTGCTGCTGCGGTAGCAACGTTTGGGGTGGTGGAGGTGGTGGAGGGAAAGGAGGCTGGGAGGATGGGAAGTTGTATGGTGCGGTAGAGCTCCATGTGGTTGGTGTATGGAGGGGAAAGTGTTGTGTGGTGGTGTGGAGGACTAGTGCTTGTTGGTGGTGCTTGTCGGTGCATTGTGTTGATGGATGTGCCCATCAAGCCTGTCGGCGGTGTTGGCTGCCAGTGTGGCTGTGTAGGTCGATACATCTGTTGTGTCAAATGTTTGCTGGCTCTGACTATAACTGAAGGTAGCTGCAAATGGCTGCGACAATGGCACGAATCCTGGGTTTGCACAGTGTGTGCAATGCTGAAAAAGTGGCAGCTTCAATGCAACAAGGCATCTTCTGTTTGGCTCAGAAGGCGAAATCGGAGCAAATGCGTCATGCAGCGATTGCTGGATGCATCAAGGTTCGGCATCGGAAGATCAAGTATAATAACCGAAGTTTTGTTTGTAGATAATACGAACACCTATACGGGAAGAGATGTATTGAAAATTACTGGATGATGCCGAAGCCGACAATGCTGAAATGTCCAGAGTGGAACCCCCATTTTTCAGGGGTTCGTACAACGCCTTTGCGTCCAACAATGAAAGATTCCCTCCACATATCCTTGTAAGAGATTATAGTGTTGGAATTTGCTGCGGATTCTGCCGAAGACCAATACGCCTTGCTGTCCTTTTTGTCGACGAGTGCACTGGTCCGCCACGATGTGAACAGTATGTTCGCTGATGTCGCCCGGTGTGGCGTTGCCATAGATCACACACGCTGGTATTTCGGCGTAGTTTTTACCATCAAAGGTGTGCTTGATCGAGGTGGGACGTACGAGGTCTTCCCTCATGATTTTGGCAGCAGTCGCCAAATCTGTCCCATGCCCGCACGTATATACGTACGAATCACCCGGCAACTCTTGTTCTGAGCATCCAAAAGGTCGTCGTTGTTCCCCCTTCCAGGGTATAAAAAGCATTTGATGAACACCGTCACTTATCGGTGTTACGACAGCACGTAGCTCCTCACAGGCCGAACGGGTGCCAGGTTGCAACACCCCATATGCGAACTCAAACAGCGTGTTGTGCTTGATGTCGGTGTCCACTGCAATTTCAATCAATGTTTGAGCTAGCTTTTGAGCTTCTTTGACATCAACTGCATGAGGCGTGGGCTTCTGATTCTCGAACAGTTCCGAAAACGGAATAATGTCTGTTTGCGGAGGTCTGCGGTCCTTCCGCAATTGCTCGATGCTCTGTTGTGGCTGAAAAATAATCGAGGGTGGATCCTGGCCAGCCGTAGCGAGCGGTCGTGGAGCAGATGGAGGAGCTGGTGGTGCCTGTTGGTGGGATGACGCGGCTTGTCCCCTAATCTGCTGAGCCACCCGCTGAATTTGTGAAACAAGGCTGCGGGGGGTGTCGCCATGCTGGCGATGGTGCTGCTGTGGAACGGCTGGGGGAGTCGGCAATCGTTGCGATCGTCTTGCTGGTGGTGTATCCTCCCTTCGATAGTGCCACCGGTCTTCGTCGCCCCTGTGGGCCTGCACTGTGGAGTAACTGCGTGTACTTGCCCGGGGTCCCGAGGGTTCACGACTGCTCCTGCTCCTGCTGCATCGGCGGGTGCGTCGTCTTCTTGTGGTGGAGATGTCTTCACGCCGATGGCGGCTGTGGGATCGCTGGTGTCGCTTGTGGTGCTTCTTGTGGCGTCGATGCTGGCTGCGACTTGCAGTTCGTGCTCTGCTGCGAGTGTGGGAGCGATGTCGTCGGCGAGGGAGGGGGGATGCGGGGCGCTGTATATCCCCAGATCCAGTCGCTTGCTGAACCGGAGTGGCCTGGTCGCCTGCTGTGGTGTTGGGCGCTGGTGTTGTTGTAGCTGGTGGGTTTGAAGGATTGGTGTCTGTGGGAATCGGAGAAGGAGCTGGATGTGGGTTGTGGGTGCTTGTGATGTTGGGAGGGTTTAATGGGGTGTGTTGGTTTTGTGAAGGTGAAGGTGAAGTAGCCGCGATGCCCTGCGGGGCAAGGTGCGATGTGAAGGAAGTGTTGGTTGTGGGGTGGGGGGTAGGCTGCGGCATGGTTTGCTGAGTGATGGTGGGGGACAAATGTTGCATGGCGGGAAAGTAGGATGAGGAATGTGGCTGCATGGTTTGCTGAGGTGGGGGCTGTTGCATCATTTGTGGTTGTGTGATGCTGGAGTGTGGAAAGAACATGGCAGGTTGTGGGACCGGAGCTGTTTGCCCGCAAGGGTTGCAGGGTATCATCGGTGAGCTCTGAAAATTGTCTGTGGGATGCATGGTTTGCTGCATTGTCTGTACCTGTTGTATTGGGGCCACCAAATTAGTCGGATGGATACCCGGAACATGTTGCATCCACGCCGGGGGCTGGTGTTGCTGTAGGGGTGGCCGTGCCACCGGTGCATATGGTGATGCCGGTGTCCATGTTGCTTGCTCCATCGGCAGCTGCTGAAGAAAAGCCGGCTGATGGCTGTATCCCGCCGGGCGCTTTGCTGCGTACTGTTCATGCCATATGTTGGTGAAACGTAGACACACGCAAAAGCAAACGTGAAGCTGTCGGTGCCTTGTTGTCTTGAGAGAAGTCGAAGGAGCAGAAGAGAGGCCGATTACTTCCCGGAGGAAGCCTCATTCCCTTGCACTAGCCGCAAATTACTGCAACTGCCCTCATGTCAGAAACAGTGCACTTGCAATCACTGAGGAAAGAAGAGATCGTGCGAGGACAGAATAGCGAGAAAATGCGAGAAACCTGTGCATTAGCCGCCCGTTACCACACTAGCCGTCAATTACCGCAACTGCCCTCATGTCAGATGCAAATGCCGTCTGCAAAGAGAGAGAGAGAGAGAGAGAGAGAGAGAGAGAGAGAGAGAGAGAGAGAGTGGTTTCGAGGGGAGAGCCGGTGAATCGATCCACAAACATTCTCGGTAATTCGTTCAACCCTGTACACCCCCCAGTGCGCGGAAATGCGCGAGGGGGGCGCGGACCTCGGATCGCGCTTCCCTCTGCCTGTGCTGAAGAAGAGAGAGAGAGAGAGAAAAATAATAAAATAGCATCGGGAGGTCTGATCAAGCTGAACGAAGGCTGAACAGCTGGTTGATAACCAGTTTCCCACGAGGGGTCACCACGGCGCCTTGACGGAAAGCCGTTGTTCTGGAGTCTCATGACCCACACTGGTCACATTGACTGATTCGGCCGAGAGCACGAGTGCAAAGGGAAAAGAGAGAGGCATGTTGTACTTGCTTGCTGTAAATTCAACCAACGACTCTGGCAACTGAAAGTCTAATCTTGGCACAGGGGCCCTCTAATCTTGCTGGCTCAGGGAGGTCTGGTATCCACCATTACGCATAGCTTCGTTGGCATGCGTTTGCGTAATGGCCGCATGCCCCCTGCATACAATCATGTGTTTCCAAAATAATGTGTTTCAAAATGGCATCAAGAACCGACGGAAAGGAGTGACCCTCTGCTCCCATGTGCTAGGGAGGTTCACACACACACACATGCGCGCGTGCACGCACTTGGAACGACCTGGAGACAGCTGAGACTTCCCATGGCTCACGTTTTTGCTCTTCAACTTTTGAAGATATTTCGACATCAACCTCCTGTGACGTCTTGAGTTTAATTTGGTACACGTGCCCTGATTGCCACGGACAGGTTCCGCCAAAACAGATTTGCTTGGGTCCCGGAGCCCCATCCCGGAGCCCCGTCCCGGAGCCCCCGGAACAAAGCCAACTCCAAACTAGGTGCATGTTAGAGGTTTTGGCCTGCTTGGAGTTCCGAGAAGTTGGCCGAGGTAGTACTGGGTACGTCATAGGCACAGGCCCACCAAACGCGCGTACAATGATGGGAAGACATTGAGAAGACGAATTCGGGATTGGCATGAACTCCGGGAAACTATTTGGAGCTGGGAACGGACGGGATGGGATGCCATAAACAATTAAACCGAAATCACTACCAAATACCTTTTTGAAGCCCCCGAAATTGCAGGATTCCCGGAAGCCAGTTTATTGCTTGAACAAGCTTATGATAGCAGACAAAGGTTGGGTTTGCCCAGCGGCTAGGTTGATGTCGCCCCCAAAATGCCCAAACAGCGGTGTTGAAGCCTTGAAAAATGCTTTTGGTGTGTTTTCAATGTTTGGAAGCTGACGTAGAGCATTTGCGGGAGCACTGGGATCGGATCTGTCTAAACCAAGCGCGTATGCTTACAGGGCTTGAAAAAAGTATGTAGCTCCAGGAAATTGATTGGGATTTTCGTGCGGGCTGGGATCACCGGAAGCTGCCTCGCTCACTTTTGCGGACAAAGAGGTCGGGCGTGATAGACGAGGAGATTGTGAAGGCTAGGGCTGATGACTGTGATTTATATTGTACTGTACGAGTGAGGATGGAGCTGATGATGTGTTTGATGATTGCCATGGTGATGCTGCTGCTGAGGATGATGAGTGTAGGATAGATGAGGTTGATCATGGTCGTGGTGGTGATGAAGACGAGACAGTGCTAAACGTTGGTCCAACCTAGTATTGCAATTGTTAACTATTTCTTCGCCTGCTCTTACGTCTCGATGGTTGCAGTCAGCTGGCACACACCACGTAGTCGAAGCCATGCTCGCTTCCAGAATGCCGTTGCAGAACCAGGTCTCAAAGGCAGTGGAGCAGGAAGGCAGCAAAACGCAGCTTGAGATATTTGCTGCACCCCAACCCTGGTTTATCACGGCCCAATCAAAGCTTCACCGCTGCCCACGCATTGCTCTCAAGACTGTCCGACCCATGCCCAGAAGTTCGGGCTTGCGACTGAGGCCTGCGAACGCATCTGCTGAGTGGCTTGGATTGAGTGGATTCAGGTTGCTTGGGCCATCATTCATATTCTTATGAACCGTAGTTACAGTTTTCCATAACTTCCCAGCTCGGACAGGCATTTTGCATGCACCACGCTTCGCAACATTCAATAAGTGGCTCGTGATGTTCAAGTACTGACAAGTATGTCATTGCAGCAGCATCTTATTCAAGAATCGCTGCCGGCTTGGCACAAGAAGGCAAGGGCTGGCAGAGATCTCCACTATGACGGGAAAAGGATTGTGTACGCAGGCTTCACTCCAAATGCCAACATGGCACCACGCATAGAAGGCGACTGCTCGTCTGGACTTGTTGGCTGACATCCATCTTGCTCAATAGGTCTGCAATCAGCAGCTGAAGACATTGCGGATGTCGTTTATTGTTTGATCTCTTCTGCTGTTTGTTTCCAGGAACAGACATGGGTGGCCGCCATCAGGAAGCCAAAGAATCTATGAGGACGGCAAGTTTAGATGTCACAAGAAGCCAAAGCCACCATGGCCATTTTACCGAGCGAGCCCAATGTGACCAGAGTTGTCCGTGCAAGAAACTGAGGCAGCTGCAAGGTTACGGCTTCGTGTCAGACTCAACTTGTCACTTGGCAGGAAATGCCTGACTCGGCGAAATCGAGCCATGAAGGTTCTCTACAAGCTTCCCAGCTGCATTGTTATTCTGCTTACCTTGTCACCTGCGATGGTGCGGCTCCTGTTCTCAGGACGGATTACCAACTGTACAGCCACACGTGCAAAGAGCTGGGAATCAGATGCATCCGCTATGCGTGCCTTCTCCAAACAGAGGGACAGAAGGGAGATCTAGAATTTCGAGACGAGGGACTGAAGAAACTTGCCAAGCGTCTGAGACAGTGTACAGTGCAACAACACCAAGCAACGATGTCCACAAGGATTCCCATGAGATCAGATCCACAGACAATGATCAATGCACAAGCTGTCGACGGTGATCACGCAGCTTGGTCAGCATTGGTTAGATGCAGCTGAAGAAGTGCGCGTAGTAATCGCGGTAGCAGATACTGCCTTCGTTCTCGCAGCATGTGATAGAGGGTAGTGGTGTGTACTACTGGCAGTGAGTGAGTACTAGTATGCCGGTAGTACTAGCAACAGCACGAGGAGGAGGAGCAGTAGCAGCAGTAGCCGCTAGCATGCTCCTGTGTTCCTTTGTTTATAGGAGCAGGCCAGCAAATACTGTAGAAGAACGGGCGGAGGCCCACCGCTGCGGACGCACGGCGGAGGCCTACTCATGGCGGGGAGGAGCGGTCGGAGGACTACTACTCTACAGGAGCCGGGGAGGAGACTGCCACAATTGCTACTACTCCATAAGAACAGGCCGAGAACTACTAGTACTACTGTAGAGGAGCAACGGGAGGATTTGCCATGCTTACGGCCGTGAACTAGCAAGCCCAGACAAGCCCAGCCAAAACGCTGCACATGAGAACTCTGATCGAAAAACAAAGTCTGATACTAGGAAAGCCCTCTTTACCAGACAAGTCTCATCTAGTAGGAAACCCTTATGTATCCCTCCATGACAGAAAAGCTCATCCAACAAGACCCTTAAGACACTGTGGAAACCCGGACAACAGAACAGCGTCGACATCCAAGTGTTGCAAGTGGTGTAAGGGCGTAAGGCCAAGACAGCCCCTCCCCCCCAAGTGGTGCAAGTGGTTTTTGGCAAGCTTAAGCGCAAATCTTGCACATCCCACCCAAGAAAAGAAGATTGCAGCATTGGTCGTTCGATCCTGGTCGAGTATTCGCCTTCGATTCCCGACACAAAGTACTAGTACTAGTAGTAGCTGTAGTAGTAGTAGTAGTAGTAGTAGTAGGAGTAGGAGTAGGAGTAGGAGTAGTAGTAGTAGTAGTAGGAGTAGTAGCAGTAGTAGTAGTAGTAGTAGTAGTAGCGGTAGTAGCAGTACTAGTAGTAGTAGTAGTAGTAGTAGTTGTTGTTGTTGTTGTTGTAATCAGTAGTAGTAATCAGTAGTCGTCGTCGTCGTCGTCGTCGCAGTCGTAGTAGTAGAAGTAGACGTAGAGGTAGAGGTGCGGTGGTGGTGGCGGTGGTGGGAGAAGTAGCAGCGGGTGGTAGTAGTAGTAGTAGTAGTAGTAGTAGTAGTAGTAGTAGTAGTAGTAGTAGTAGTAGTAGTAGTAGTAGTAGTAGTAGTAGTAGCAGTAGTAGCAGTAGTAGTAGTAGTAGTAGTAGTAGTAGTAGTAGGAGTAGGAGTAGGAGTAGGAGTAGGAGTAGGAGTAGGAGTAGTAGTAGTAGTAGTAGTAGTAGTAGTAGTAGTAGTAGTAGTAGTAGTAGTATGAGTAGCAGTAGCAGTAGCAGTAGTAGCAGTAGTAGTAGTACTACTACTACTACTACGACTACTACTACTACTACTACTAATAATAAGACTAGTGATACTAGCAGCAGTAGAGCAGTACGATAATTGGTATTCTTCGTACGTCAGCTACTAGTACTTACTAGAACTAGGCAGTTCATAGTAGTTCTGTGTTGTACAGGAACCCAGCAGACTTGTTGCTGCAGTGCTAGGGATGGCCCAAGCTCAGACAACGAAACAGCTAGCTTGCCAATGGAATAGTTACGGCTACTGTGCACACTACGGGCAGCAAGTGCACATTTCGCACATGTCGCGTAGTGAGGGGCACAAGATTGTTGTACTGACACCGCTTGCCGGCAGCGGCGCTCGTGGCTCATGTCCTCTTGTGCAACCTTCGTGACCTTCATGCTACAGGCGAAATGGCTCATTCGACAGCGGCGCCTTGGCATCGAAGAGTTGCTTGTGGCCTGATTCATTGGTAAATGCTATGGCCTCGGAAACTTAGCCCTGCAGAGGATCTACAAAGCCAAGTTCCGACCTCGAGAACTGCGTGAACCCGGCTCTCAGCGAAGAATTAGGTGGTCCCGTCGCTGACCTCAAGTTTAATTGGCCGTCTCTGTCATTGATATATCACCGATAGGCTTAGGCGAACCAGATGCAAGTCGTCACAAGCGAGTGTCATTATGCAGAAAGCAATAATGAAGAGTATGCTTGCCAGCACGCTTCAACATGAGGTGCAAGTGCAGACAGACACACACACACGCACAACAACAAAATAAATGCGTTTGGTACACATCGGTGTCCCGTCTACCGTCTGCATTGATGCGGTTGCTTGCACGCTCGTCTTGTTTTTCGTCGCCAGTTTCCGGCAAAATGAGGTCACCCGTTGGAGCCTGTGCCGGCAAGCCACGGCAGGCGCACGCAACATGACCATCGTAAGATTCAGTGAAATCGGGAGCTCATTATTGGGTGCATCTCACGAGAGTTTTGCAATCAAATGTCTTGTTGAACTGCTGCGCCTTTGCAGTGTACATTTTCACTTGCAGAAAGAGGCCAAAAGCCACGCCGCAACAAATCTCAACGGCCTGGCCATATGGAGTTCGACAAGACCGTGTGGATGGAAAGCAGGCTTCGGCCCCTACATCGATAATACGGAGCAGCGCATCGTGTCTGCATGCCTTACTTAGTCTGGGGCATCTGTTGAGGTTGTGTACAATCCAACAGCAGCGGGCCGTGGTTTCCAGCCAGCCAAGCTCAAAATCGTGGGAGGCCGAACTCAGGAGCCTGAGTAACTACCACACGAGAAAAAGAGAAGATGCTCGTTGTGTGATGGGATATCTGCAGCCTTTGCAGCTATCTCTTTCACTGGAGTCCTTCAGTTGATTGCCGAAAGTTGCAAGAGCTTCCCGGAGCCGTGACCGCAGGGGCTGTCGGCTCAGCTGCATCTCAGTTCTGTGTCCCGTCACGTTGGAATCGAGGGATGGCGCATGCTCAATCACGAACTTGAATCACAGACACGCAAGCAAAAAATAAACAAACAACAAATATATGCTTACTTTTCTATTCTGAAAATTGCGTCGGCAGATGGCAAGCTCAAGCAATGATGGAGCTCGAAGGCATGAGAACGTGTACTGTTCAAGGTTTGATGTTTCATGCTTTTCGCCCTTCAAAGCAGGCACTTGTGATGTGCTGCAGTGCATGAATTCTGCACACCATAGCGCAGCTCATGTGGTTTGTACGGGCTTAAAGCCGCGTGCCTGGTTTGATGCCGGGCTTATAGGGTTTAGGGCGTTTCATTTCTCAGCTGTTATCCCCTTTCCGGCATCATGGCCCTATGAGTGTATACCCTTCAGTTTTATGGTGATTATCGTGTCCTGAAATGGGAAAGGCCCCAACATGGACCCCAAAACGCCTGGTCCTGATTGTGGTGACCCCGGAAAAGAGCCCTAAACCTTGACAAAACCCTTCAAACTCCTGAAGCTGAAGTAGAAATGTCTCGGGTCTGCATAGGACCTCCAAAAAGACTTCACAAGATTCTTCAAACGTCCCATGTATCCTGGGGTCCCTCTCCCCTGCCGTACTACAATCTGCTGGTCTAAGACATGGGCATTAATTTCGGGTGAGGAAGGAGGCCACGGCACAAAATAATGCCCAGGTTTTCACCATTTCGGGAGGAAGGGACATACACACAGCACGCACGCACGCACAGATAGTAAGAGAGAGAGAGAGGCACATAGGTAAAGCCCCTACATCATAGCCCTGGCGAAAGAAAAGAGACATAAATATACATATACATAGATACAAAAGCCCATCCCCGCAATGCAAGGGGTAAACCCAAAGCCATCAACGATTTTGGCTTCGGGCATCGTTGTCTGACGGAAGGTGTGTGTTGTTTGCAATGGTGAGAGTTCTCAAGGACTGTATTGGAAACCCCAAAACACGGAACTCCAAGAATAAAGTAGGAATATACTACGAATATCGCTACCATGGTCCTTATATTCCTAGTATATGCCTATCATATCCCTGAAGTTCCCTTTCGGGATCGCCATTACAGACCTTTCAGGTCGGTTTGCACGGAGTCCAAGATGCCTAAGTATCAAAGGCTGTAGATGCATCCTTGTTAAGAGCTTATGAACAAAGTGTTGAGTGTCGAAAAGCTAAAATGAGAATGAGTTGAACTTTCTGTTGCTAAAGGGAGAGTGGCCGAGGGCATCCTTATGCTAATCCCTATATTAGTGCCCATTTGTCCCCCTTATCACAATCCCTCAACTCAATCACTGCCCCATTCCACCTCAAGCTCCGGTAAGTACAAGCAGCACACAGACACATGATAAGAGATTAAGAAATGACAAGCTTATAGGGATTCGGGTAGGACACGACGAGAGAGAAAAAAAAGCAAATGTGCTCAGGCTGTATCTCGCCAGCTCAAAGTCTTCGCCGCGAAGGTTCGGTGTTCTTAAGTGTCGGTTTAGGGTGTATGGGTTTCGGGTTTGGGGTTGAGGGTTTCGGGCGGTGTTACCCAAAAGTTCCGGCATGACTTTGCGTCAAGCTGACCCTAAAATGTACCCTACAATAGAGTTTAGGGTTTAGGGGTCCACGCACCCCAATAACGGAATTCTTGCTGACAGTATTTGTTTAATGTTCGTTCTACTACAGGCCCAGGGTGAAAGTAATTGATGCCAACTTGATGGCTAGTATATTCTATATTCAGCTCAACAACGGTACCGGTACTTAGGGGTTAGCTGTTAACCCTTAAATAGTCGGGGTCCTAAGTGTAGTTTGGGCTAGTATTCCCTATACAGGAACTTACCGTCCTTGTGGATGGTGCAAACCCTAAACCCTAATCCTAACCTGTGCAGGATTCTTCCCATCAACGCTAAACCCAAACCTCGAAACCCTAAACCCTTAACCTCAAGGAATATAATCCTATATATCCCCTACATAATATGCAGGGAGCAAATTGGTATATCAGGACCTCAAACCCTAAACGTCGAGCCCCGAACCGCCACGAAAAATTGCTTTGTCGCAGTGGAGGCTTTCTTGGCCAGCAACGGCCAGGGGAAGCCCACTGATGCTTGTATGATACAGTGTTCAGGGTTGGGGGATACTGTGGTTCTATAGGGTGGTTCAATGTTGATGTACGGTAAAGCGGTATACGAGGGCTTCAGATATTAAATGCCATCCGGATTGCAGTGTTTGGGGCCTCATCCCAACTATTTGCGCACTTGAACCCTGAACCTAACCCCTTAAGGGTCAGCGTTAAGGGTTATATACGGGTAAAAGCCTGAAGTAAGGAGGTGCCTTGGGGGTTGATTTACAGTTCATCCTTGTGGCCGTAGCTATGATCGCCGTATACATAGCTTTACCTGTATCTCGAGTGGGATTTAGCGGGTTCAAGGTGTAGAGTTTAGTTGGGTATATCGTGCTCGCTCCCAAAACAAGAGAAACCCCAATGAGGACCCCAAAATACTTTAACCGTTTATGTCATATAGGGACCTTCAAAACGATACCCCCAACTGGGGCCATAGTGAATCACTTCAACTCCTAAGGATCAAGCCGAGGTGGGGCAAGTGAATGCAGCGGGATCAGCGAGTCTATGGTTACGGGCTGCTGTGTTTTGAGGGGTGTTCAGGAGGAGTCAAAAGGTGGTTGCCCTTGCAGAGAATTGGGTTTGAGCTCTGAAAATTCCTTGGAACACGGGACCCGTAATCAAAAAATACCAAACCTAGCCACAAGATCCCAAGCTTGAAGTTTATGTTGGAGGCCAACCAGGAGTTCATGAAGCAATCCACACCCCTCAACAATAAGTCTCTCAGGAGCATTTAAGCTCGCAGCCCTGATCTGGTAAATCCAGAGTTTAGGGTTTAATTTCAATACAGCGAACCCTAAATCACTAAGCACTGAACTTCCGAACTGCTACCTCGAACTCCCACATACCCACAAGAATGGCAAAAATGGTTAACCATATATGCCGTCTTTGCAGAGGACTGAGGGCCGTTATTATGGCTACATGGGTACAGCATGCCGAGCCGTTGTGCTGTTCGTGTTGGCCAGAAAAATGGGATCCTCAAGAAACTCTGTATCAAAACTGTGCTAGAGCCTGTAGACCCCAAAAACCTTACCCTCATCCCGAAAGCTCTCCAACTGGAAGCCCTGGGTCCGGCCCCTAAATCAAGAGCTCCTGTCATTGAGTTCTGCCAGCTCTGGCTGGCGGAGTCCAAGCGGAGAAATCAGACTCGGAGGTCTGCATTCAGGCTGATGGGCTCTGGGTTTGAGGTGCCTTCTTTCAGGGCTTCGTAGGTTGGGCGTCTTTCTGCAGTTATCGACTGTTTCGGGTTTCTGCGTATTTCATCTGGACGGGGTTCCTGACTACTTAGACAGGGCTTGTTTATGGTGGGGTCTGCTGCTTCAGCGCCGCCTCCTCCTACTCCAACTGCTGCTCCTAATACTTGTACGATGGCGACGTCTGCTACTGCTTCCTATTCCAGTCCTTCGACTGCGACTGCTACAGACATCCGGTTCCCTGGACCGTAAGGTCTATGAACCCAAAACCTTTAGCTTGTGGCAATTAATGTTTGCTTTTGCCGCGCTGGGATGTTGGATGTTGTTGGCGTATGTTGGCTGTTTATCCTTGCTGGATGAAGTGATTCGAGATGTGATCTACTGGTCTTGATAATGGAATTCGGGTCCAGGCCAAACAAAATGCAAGCCCCTATACATGTTGTAAGCCTTAAAGTCTCCAAACCCAGCAGACATTGAGCCTTGTGGAGCCTATAGCGGCCGCTCCCTAGCAGCAGTTTAAGCTCTACAAAGCTCTATACTGATGCTGTGAGACTATGAGGAACACCAGGCTTGGGATTTTAAGGCTTAGGGGTTTACACAGGTTTCCGGGAAGACGCTAAACGGCGGGCTTGAGGGGTTTGGGGTTGTAGAGTTCAGGGTTCAGGTTCTGGGCGGTTCAGGCTTTCCAGTGGTTTGGATTTTAGGGTTTAGGGCTTTAGTGAAATAAAAGCCTTGTAAGACCAAGACTGAGTTTACACCTTCACCAGAACGTCCGCCAGGCGATCGCCAAGGCGGAGGGCAGCAAGATCGGTCCGGACGATTTTCCGGCGTCCTGGCGTGGCTTAACGGACTCGGCTTTTTGGTGGTTTTGGGTCTTGGGTGTTTACGGTTTTCGATGTTGGTGGAGTCTAGAGGGTCTGGGTTTCGGGCTTAGGGCTTAGGGTGTTGAGGGTTTAGGGCTTCGTCTTCAACATCTTCGCATCCACTGATCCGACTTTGACAGCCTGCGTCTGTTGCGGGCCAGTTCGGGTTCAGGGCTTATGGGTTTTGGTGGATTTGGTAGGTTGAAGACTTTTGGTCTGGGCTTCTAAGATCTTGCAAATAGTCTAGTATTTTACACACAGTTATGGAGTAGGATGCGGCTGGCTGATGGGTTGGGGTTCAGGATCGTTTAGAGTTTACCAACCTAACATTAAGTACGGTTTAGGGTTTAGAGTTTAGGAGGGTTTGAGGGTTTAGGCATCTCCAAGGTCACATGTGTGGGCGCCTAATGTGGGCCCTTCGTTTTGTGAATTCTAGTGGCCATCCCAAACAAGACAGCCGTTCGAACGACAACAACCCGGCCAAAGGTTGAACAAGTTCCAATGCAAAGTCGCCTTACCTGGCAAAGTTGCGTCGATGGACGACAAAAACGCTCTGGTTGTAAACGGTCCTAAGGGGTATTAAGGGTGTTGCAGCTCGCGCCAGCGAACGCCTCGTAATCGGCAGCTTATCTCAGACACCCCAGAAT